CATCATCAGCATCAGCATCACCATCACCATCACCATCATCATCATCATCATCATACTCAACAGCATCATCATCATCAGCATCATCAGCATCGTCATCATCATGGTCATCAGCATCAGCATCATCATCACCATCACCATCATCATCATCATCATCGGCACCATCATCGCCAGCATCAGCAGCATCAGCAGCATCAGCATCATCAGCATCAGCATCATCAGCATCATCAAAATCAGCATCAGCATCATTAACAATGCCACCATCTCATAACCATCAGCATCGTCAGCATCATCATCAGCATCATTAACAACAGCATCACCAGCATCATCATTATCACCATCATCATCAGCATCATCATCATCAGTGTCAGCATCATCATCAGCATCAGCATCAGCATCATCATCAGCATCGTCAGCATCATCATCAGCATGTTCAGCATCAGCATCAGCATCCGCATAATCATCATCATCATCATCATGAACAGCATTATGTTCATCATCAGCTCCATCATCAGCTTCATCGTCATCATCAGCTTCAGCCTCATCATCATCAGCATCAGCATCTGCATCACCACCATCATCATCATCATCAGCAGCATCAACATCGCCATCCTCATCATCATCATCAGCAGCACCATCATCATCGATATCAGCATCATCAGCATCAGCATCAGCATCATCAGCAGCATCAGCATCAGCAGCATCAGCATCACCAGCCTCATCGAAATTATCATCAGCATCATCACCGCCATCATCAATACCACCACCATCATAACCATCAGCACCATCAGCATCACCATCAGCATCATCAACCGCATCATCAGCATCAGAATCATCATCACCAACGTCAGCATCATCATCAGCAGCATCACCATCATCATCCTTATCATCACCACCATCATCATCACCACTATCATCATCAGCAGCAGCATCATCAGCAGCAGCATCATCAGCAGCATCAGCATGGCAATCAGCATCATCATCGCCGTCATCATCAGCATCATCATCATCATCGTCATCGTCATAATCGGCAGCATCGTCATCGTCGTCGGTCTCCTCTTCCTCCAAATCGTCCTCCTCCTCCTCCTCCTCCTCCTCCTCCTCCTCATCCTCCTCATCGTCCTCCTCCTCCTCTTCCGCCTCCTCCTCCTCCGCCTCCTCCTCCTCTTCCGCCTCCTCCTCCTCCTCATCCACCTCCTCTCCTCCTCCTCTCCTCCTCCTCCTCCTCCTCGTCCTCCTCCTCCTCCTCCTCCTCCTCCTCCTCCTCCTCCTCCTCCTCCTCCTCCTCCTCCCCCATCCTCCCTCTCCTCCTCGTCCTCTTCCTTCTTCTCCTCCTGCGCTCGGATCTCCTCGAGTTGGCGTGCCTCCGTCTCCTCCTCCTCCGCCTTCTCCTTCTTCTCCTCCTCCGATTCCTCTATCTCGGCATCATCATCATCAGAATCATCATTATCATCATCGTGATCATCATCATCATCATCATCATCATCATCATCATCATCATCATCATCATCATCATCATCATCATCATCATCATCATCATCATCATCATCATCATCATCATCATCATCATCATCATCATCATCATCATCATCATCATCATCATCATCATCATCATCATCATCATCAATATCATCATCATCATGATCAGCATCAACATCAACATCACATCATCACATCATCAGCATCATCAGCATCATCATCATCATCATCATCAGTGTCAGCATCGTCATCATCAGCATCAGCAGCATCAGCATCAGCATCAGCATCATCATCAGCATCGGCATCAGCATCATCAGCATCATCATCATCAGCATCATCAGCATCATCATCAGCATCATCGTCATCATGAGCATCATCAACATCATCGTCATCATCACCACCATCATCATCAGCATCATCATCGTCGTCATGGTCATCATCAAACTATTAACAGCAGCAGCAGCATCATCACCCCCAGCATCATCATCATCAGCATCATCATCATCATCATCATCATCATCATCATCATCATCATCATCATCAGCATCATCATTATCAGAATCATCATCATCATCAGCATCATCAGCATCATCATCATCATTTACAGCATCATCGGCCTCAGCATCAGCATAAGCACCCTCAGCATCATCAGCATCATCATCATCAGCATCATCATCATCAGCATCATCGTCACAATCAGCATCATCATCATCATCACCACCACCATCATCATAACCATCAGCATCATCAGCAGCATCACCATCCTCAGCAGCATCAACAACATCATCATCGACATCAGCGTCATGATCACCAACGTCAGCAGCATCATCAGCATCATCATCAGCATCATCGTCATCATGAGCATCATCAACATCATCGTCATCATCACCACCATCATCATCAGCATCATCACTATCATCATCATCATCATCATCATCATCATCATCATCATCATCATCATCATCATCATAATGATCATCATCATGTTCATCAGCATCAGCATCATCATCATCGTCGACGTCATCACCAGCATCATCAGCAGCATCATCAGCATCAGCATCAGCATCAGCATAATCATCATCATCACCATCATCATCATCATCATCCTCGTCCTCGTCCACGTCCTCGTCCTCGTCCTCGTCCTCGTCGTTCGTCCCCTCCTCCTCCTCCTCCTCCTCCTCCTCCTCCTCGTACTCCTCCTCATCCTCCTCCTGCTCCTCCTCCTCCACCAAATCGTCCTCATCCTCCTCCTCCTCATTCTCCTCCTCCTCCTCCGCGTCCTCCTCCTTCTCCTCCTCCGCCTCCTCCTCGTTCTGGTGCTCGTCGTCGTCGTCGTCCTCCTCCTCCAAAACCTCCTCCTCGTCCTCCTCCTCCTCCTCCTCATCTTTCTCCTCCTATTTCTCCTCCTCCTCCTCCTCGTCCTCGTCCTCGTCCTCGTCTTCCTCTTCCTCCTCGTCGTCCTCCTCCTCCTCCTCGTCCTCCTCCTCCCCTTTCTCCCCCTCCTCCTCCTCCTCCTCCTCGTCCTCCTCCTCCGTAGCCATTTTGGCTCAAGCCATTTTGGCTCAAGCCATTTTGGCTCAAGCCGCGGCGGGCCTGCATGGCATGGGCGGACAGCGAGGAGGCCGCATCGGCCCCCTGGCGCCAGTCGCGTTTGGGCGCGTCGCGGGAGGCGGCGGTCATCAGAGCGGCTGTGGAGGCAGCGGTCACTGCGACGGCCAAGGCCCTCGGTCTGACCGCGGCGGCACCCAAGGCGCGGCCGCGCCCGACGGCAAGGCCGTCCTCGGCGCCGTCGGCGCCGCCACCGGTGCTGCTGGCCCTGGCGGACCTGGAACCGCCCCCTGGAAGCTGGGAGGTGGCAGGGCCGCCATCGAGGTCGATGAGGAGGAAATCGTCCAGCCCTACTCGTGGCTTGGCTGCCCGGCTTTCCTCAAGGACCCGGTCAAGGAGCCGGTCGCGCCAGGCCAAGAAGGAGAAGAAGGATCGGAAGCACAAGAAGCACAAGAAGGACAAGAAGGACAGGGACAAGAGGCCGCCCCCCGACTGGCAAGGAGCTGGTCCTTGGGAGGTGAACTAGGCCCCACCAAGTACATGGGCTGCCAGGTCACGTCGTGGCACGACATTGGCGACGAGAGCGACGGCGACGTCCAGCCCAGCGACGGCATGAGCACGCTGGGGGTTCCGAATGGGAGCTACTTCATCGGTGTGCGCAGGGGCAGGGAGGTGGTCAAGTTGTTCGACTTCATGGGTCACCAGCTGTCCCTGACGGATGGCATCGAGCTCACCCTCGGCATGGATCAGGCCGACGAGGATGAGGTGACGGCAGCAGGAGAGGCTCCGACGGCGGTGTCGGTCGCATCGGCGTCGGGGGCATCGGCGGTTGGGAGCCCGGGCGGTGAAGGCATAGGCGAAGGAGGCATTGACGGCGGCGGCATCGGCGGCTGTGGCGGAGGCAGTGGCGGTGGAGGCATCGGCGGCTCGGAGCCTAGCGTGCACGAGGGCGGTAGCGTCGATGAGGATTTGAAGGTCACGTATGCGGTGAAGGTCAGCAATAGGTATGAGGAGCTGAACCCCAGCAACGAGGACGTCGGCTATGGCGGGACGGAGTCCAGCGTGGTAGGCGACAGCATCGGCAACGGTATGTCTGAGCTATCGTCGGAGATGGATGCGATGCAGCATGAGGAGCTGGAGGCTGAGGAGACGGCGCTCAAAGAACCCGGCGTTACGACGACGGCGGGCTTTTGGCCTGACAGCCTCTCCAACCGCGAGCTGCGCCAGCTCGCCGTGAAGCGGTTCGGTCAGGCCTGGGTCGACGAGAACCTCTTTCCCGAGTGAGGCTGGCCTGCGATCGAGGCTGTGTGGTTTTCTTGGGGCGTTGTCCCGTGGGGGTGGTGGCGTTGGCCTCTCGTCGCCCTTGCTGGGTTTGGGCGTTGCGTAATGGGGGGGTCATAAATGGGGGGGTGGCGAGGGTGGTCCGAAAAGGTACCCAAACGGTACCTAAACGAGCCCCCTGGGGCTCCGGAGGGGCCCGAAAGGGGCACGAAAGGGGACCTTTTCTGACCCCCCCATTTGTGACCCCCCCATTAAGCAACGCCCAATGGGTTCGCCTCGTTTTGGCCTCCGGGTCGGTTTTCCGCTCGTGGCGGGTCGCCGCCGCTGGGCGCTGCTCGAAAATCTTGGTCTCCCGCCGGGCCGCGGCTCGTGCGGTGGCGCGGGCTACCTGCCATGCTCCTGCCTGTCGGCAGGAGTCGTAGCGGGCAGCCTGCCAGTAACTTCTCGCTGGGCCATTGGGCTCGGCTAGTGCGGTTCGGCGTAGGTCCGAGTCGCGTGGCCTGCGTGCCAGCGCCCTTTGACAGGGCGGCGTCATCAGTAGCCTCAGTAGCCTCGTCCTCCTCCTCCTCCTCCAAAACCTCCTCCTCCTCCTCCTCCTCCTCCTCCTCCTCCTCCTCCTCCTCCTCCTCCTCCTCCTCCTCTGCGTCGCGTTGATCGCATACCCGATACTGGCTCGGCGGGAGCGGTGCGCACGCCTCGGCCGACACTGGCGCCTGCAGCTGGCCGAAGTGCGCCCAGAGGACGTCGTCGGTGGCCTCCCATCCGCCCCATCCCACCGGGGGGAAGGCGAAGGGGGGGGGCGAGGGCGAGGGCGAAGACGAGGATGACAGCGAAGGCAAGGCAGCAGTCCGCACAGGACCCGCCCACAAGCAATCGACCAACAGCACGGGCAACTCGCACTGCAAAAAAACGGTGCTGGCCATGCGTTTACAAAAAAGCACCGCAATTCATAGGTCGCAAGTATCCGCCACCACGCTTGCAGCAGTTGTGGGTATGTCGGGCCTTGCTCCTGTGCTAATGTTGCCTCTGGCGAAGTAAATCCGCCGACTCGGGCGGCATGTGCGAAGTGTTTCCCTTTCAAGCTAGTTTGTCCATTTTGCCATCCTGAAGGCCCCCGTCCTCAGGAAAACCGATATGGACGTGCGGAGGGGAGACTGGCGAAGGCAGAGAGATTGAGGAGAAAGGAACGCAGGGCGTTGTTTCTTCAATACGGAGGCCCAGCACCACAGGATGGTTGGGAAATAATGAAAACTAGCCTGGCGAAAGACCCAACCATATGCAGTTGTATTCACCGCAGAGAGAGCGCGTTTCAGGGGCGCTTGCCTTGGGAACATTCGGCGGCGCGTTTCGAATCTTGGGGGGGCATCCCACATTCGGCACCGTCGATCAGAATCAGGGTGACCCCCCTCCCCCCTAACCACCCCCTCCCCAACCCTCCCCCCAGGCGCCGGCGCCGGCGGCGCTGGCGGCGGCCAACAGCACCGACGGCGGGGACGCAGCGACGATGACCAGAGAGAGCCCAGAGGCCGCAGGGGGGAAACACAAATCGCCATATCGAGCCCTCGCCCCCCAAAAGCCACCGAGGGGCCCTTAAGAAGCTCCAGGAGGCTTCACAAATGCTCCTCAGACGCCCCCGAGACCCCTCGGACGAGACCTCAAGAGGCATCCATGAGAACTCTAACCCAAAGCCAAAACACGGTGGATAGACCACCACCACCACCACAACAAACCACCACACCACCACCACCACCACCGCCATCACCATTACCACCACCACAACCACCACAACCCACCACTACCACAACCCCCACAAGCACCATAAACCACTACACCACCACCACCACCACCACCACCACCACCACCACCACCACCAAAAACGCTACAGCCACCACCGCCACAACCCACCACAACCCACCACAATCACCACCACCACCACAACCACCACGAACCACCACACCACCACCACCACCACCATCAACACCACCGCCACCACCACCACCACCACAATCCACCACCGCCACCACCATCACAAACCACAACACCACCACCATCACCACCACCACCACCACCACAATCACCACCGCCACCACCACCACCCACCACCCACCACCCACCACCCACCACCATGACCAGCAGCACGGCCACCACAAACCACCTCAGCCCACCGCCACCACCACCACCACCACAAACCACCACAACCACCACCACCGCCACAACCACAAACCACCGCACAACCACCACCACCACAGCCACCACCACCACCACAACAACCCACCACCACCACCACCAGAACAACCCACCACCACTACCACCACCACCACCAATCTACCACACCACCACCATCACCACCACAACCACCACCACGACAAGCACAACCCACCGCCACCACAATTACACTACCGAGGAACCCCACATACTGATGTAAGGTCGCGCGTGTTCACGCCTGCTGTGCCTGGACGGCCGTCACGAATAGCGGCCGCGGTAAGAGACCACCCCCGATGGACTCGAGACAATGCCATGCCTGCTGTGCCTGGACGAACGTCACGGATAGCGGCCGCGGTGAGAGACTTCCCCCTGCGCACCCCCTCTGGTAGCGACAATATGCCATGCCTGCTGTGCTTGGACGAAAGTCAAGGATAGCGGCCGCGGTGAGAGACCACTCCTGCGCACCCCCTCTGGCGTCGACAAATTGCCGCGCCTGCTAGGCTTTTCGACAGTGTCGTGGATAGCGGCCGCGGTGAGAGACCACCCCCTGTGCACCCCCATGTGGCGTCGAGAAATTGCCGCGCCTGCTGGGCTTTTCGACAGTGTCGTGGATAGCGGCCGCGGTGAGAGACCACCCCCTGCGCACCCCCTCTGGCGTCGAGCAATTGCCGCGCCTGCTAGGTTTTTCGACAGTGTCGTGGATAGCGGCCGCGGTGAGAGACTACTCCTGCGCATCCCCCTTCTGGCGTCGAGAAATTGCCGCGCCTGCTAGGCTTTTCGACAGTGTCGTGGATAGCGGCCCGCGGTGGGAGGACCACCCCCTTGCGCACCCCCTTCTGGCGTCGAGAAATTGCCGCGCCTGCGAGCTTTTCGACAGTGTCGTGGATAGCGGCCCGCGGTAGAGGACCACCCCCTGCGCACCCCCACTGGCGTCGGAGATTTGCCGAGTCCACTCTGTTTTCCGACAGTCTCGTGAAAGCGGGGCGCGGTGAGAGACCACCCTGCGCACCCCCTCTGGCGACGAAAAATGCCGGCAAACACACTGCACGCGCAGCGAAGTGTGCGAAGAGTCGACAGTAGCGGCCGCGGTGAGAGACCACCCCCTGCGCACCCCCCTCTGGCGTCGAGAAATTGCCGCGCCTGCTAGGCTTTTCGACAGTGTCGTGGATAGCGGCCGCGATGGGAGACCACCCCCTGCGCACCCCCTCTGGCGTCGAGAAATTGCCGCGCCTGCTAGGCTTTCCGACAGTGTCGTGGACAGCGGCCGCGGTGAGAGACCACTCCTGCGCACCCCCTCTGGCGTCGAGAAATTGCCCCGCCTGCTAGGCGTTTCGGCAGTGTCGTAGATAGTGGCCGCGGTGAGAGACCGCCCCCTGCGCACCCCCTCTGGCGTCGAGAAATTGCCGCGCCTGCGAGGCTTTTCAACAGTGTCGTGGATAGCAGCCGCGGTGGGAAACCACCCCCTGCGCACCCCCTTCTGACGTCGAGAAATTGCCGCGCTGCGAAGCTTATCGACAGTGTCGTGGATACCGGCCGCGGTGAGAAGACCACCCCCTGCGCACCCCCTCTAGCGTCGAGAAATTGCCGCGCCTGCGAGGCTTTTCGACAATGTCGTGGATAGCGGCCGCGGTGAGAGACCACCCCTCTGCGCCCCCCCCCTCTGGCGTCGAGAAATTGCAGCGCCTGCGAGGCTTTTCGACAGTGTCGTGGATAGCGGCCGCGGTGAGAGACCACTCCTGCGCACCCCCTCTGGCGTCGAGAAACAGTGTCGTGGATAGCAGCCGCGGTGAGAGACCACCCCCTGCGCACCCCCTCTGGCGTCGAGAAATTGCCGCGCCTGCTAGGCATTTCGACAGTGTCGTGGATAGCGGGCGCGGTGAGAGACCACACCTCTGCGCACCCCCTCTGGCGTCGAGAAACGGTGTCGTGGATAGCGGCCGCAGTGAGAGACCACCCCCTGCGCACCCCCTCTGGCGTCGACGCCTGCCAGGCCGTTCGACAGTGTCGTGGATAGCGGCAGCGGTGAGAGACCACCCCCTGCGCACCCCCGCTGGCGTCGAGAAACGGTGTCGTGGATAGCGGCCGCGGTGAGAGACACCCCCTTGCGCACCCCCTCTGGCGTCGAGGAATTGCAGCGCCTGCGAGGCTTTTCGACAGTGTCGTGGGTAGCGGCCGCGGTGGGAACCCACCCCCTGCGCCCCCCCTCTGGCGTCGAGAAACAGTGTCGTGGACAGCGGCCGCGGTGAGGAGACCACCCCGTGCGCACCCCCCCTGGCGTCGAGAAATGGCCGCGCCTGCTAGGCATTTCGGCAGTGTCGTGGGTAGCGGCCGCGGTTAGAGACCACCCCCTGCGCACCCCCTCTTGCGTCGAGAAATTGCCGCGCCTGCTATGCGTTTCGACCGTGTCGTGGGTAGTGGCAGCGGTGAGAGACTACTTCTTGCGCACCCCCTCTGGCGTCGAGAAATTGCCGCGCCTGCTAGGCTGTTCGACAGTGTCGTGGATAGCGGCCGCGGTGGGAGAC